TTATCTTATCTATCTACAATATATCTCTACTTACTTCTTCCTTATTTCATTTTCTTTTTTCAGTATGTATATAAATATAAAACATGATTTTTACCAATCCTGAAAAAAGTGTGTCCATTACTGATGAGCGGCAACCGATTCTTTTGACTGTATGACTCTATAATAGAACTAAATAGAATAATAGAACTAAAAGAAATAAAAAATCTCAGAAAAATTTTTCCCTTCATAAATTCTTTAATTTCGTAAAAGAATCTAGAATATGAATAACAACTTACAGATGCTCACGTTACACTAATAAGACATCGTAGTCAAAAGTATTAGTAAGATATTGGTAGCATTATTACTGAAGTGCGAAATAACATTTATACGTACTGTACGATAAACTCCATAGATAGTATGCATGCGTGCGATATATAGATGGACAGCGAATGATATACAAAACGAACAGCGAAAACGTTCTATAAGTATAAACAATATAAAATTAGTTTCGAAGTCTAAACTATGATAATAGATGTATTTATATTTAAATAATAAATAATAATAATATATTTATCTATATATTTAAATTGATTTATATATTTATATTTAACGACACTTCTTTAATAGCATCTTTTTTTTATAAATAATATGCGAAGTATTCCACAAATGAGGGATACTTCAAAGAAATATAATATTTTAAATTTTAAATTTTACTTTAGTTTCTATATGACGTAAAATTTGCGAGGATTATTTGTATGAGGACTATTATATGGGAATAACAAAATAATTATTGAATAGAAAACTTCGATATTAAAACAATATCAGAATAAATTAAAATAATATTTTGACAGAGAAATTTTTCTTTTTCAAATCCTTTAAAGATTTATGAATGACGGTTTGAAAATGATTAGAACATTTCTTAAAAATTGATCTATTGGAAACAAGGATTAAAACAAAAATTTTGACAACGCTATTACGAAAACGTTGATTTATTTTTAACTTATCTACAATCTTGGACGAAGTATAGAATATATTATTTCCTTACATTATAATACAGAGTAACGCAAATATACGCAAATATAAGACATAATAGGCGAATAATATGGCGTCGAACCAATGTATAGTCCGTTTATATTTAAAATGCATTTATGAGACACTGGGCCTTATTTTGGTAGCGTAATTTGCTCTAAACGCAATAATTTTCGAACATGATTTTTTAAAGTCAATTCTAGCAAATGCAATGTGTTTAACGAACGCTATCAACGTGAAATGGCAATCAATCGGATACGCTTAGCAGTAAACGTGCGAGAAAAAAATATATAGTTTTGAATCTATATCCTTCACGCATTTTTAGTGTCCAGCGTAACGTCGTCTAAACATTATTTCTTCAAATTAATGCGGATATACGAGGGAAAGATCTCGAAATTCGAGCAGCCACGTTCTGCGCAATGTGCACGGCAGGATGCACGCGCACGACTTTGAATGTTGCGAATAGACGCATATCTCTTCGCCTTTTTTGGGCGCAGCTTTTCAATTAATTGCAAAGGATCATCGCGAGAACTTCGAAGTCTTCCTTCGAGAATCGTGGGATCAATCCTGCAGCGTTTTCACGATGGCTCCCAATCTTTACGTGGACATCGATGACTTCTTGTCGGTATCGCTTGCCACGTGCATGATTAGTCTGGATCTTTAGAATCACACATTGGGTACATCGGGTGGACCCCGAAGGGCCATCTCTTCGCCCTGATTAGTGGCTGAGAGTTTTCTGAAACAGAACAAAAGACTTATTATACGCGTTGTCTTTCATGCCGTTGTATTTCGTTCAAATTAAAGCGATAATATTAAAAATAATAAAAGAAATGTTGAATGAATTTTTTAATAATTTTACGCATTAAATATTTTATGAATTCTTCAGGTTTTTGTAAAATTTTTAACACTTGTATAGTTAATAGTAAAAAATGAATGCTCTGTTTTTTAATGTAATTTTACTTCTGTTATCTTATTTAATATTACGTCTTTATATTTACGTGCCTTATATGTACTCGTATATATGTTATATATATGAAAGTTATACAACACACACATAAATAAAGGAAATAAATGTGAAAAATGATGTACAATAAAAATAACTAATTATTAAATTTTATATACATTTATTATAGAAGATTTTAACTGTGTAATTTTTATTTTATCGAATTTCTGTTTATTCTGTTAAGAAACTAAATTATTATTATTCAATATCATTATTCAACTTTCATTTTTTTTACTTAAACTTAAGAAATTAAATAATATACAATTTCAATTAAATTTCGCATCTTCCTGTTTTTTACTTTCACATTTTTTTGCGTAATAATTACTATGAGTCACCGAGATTTAAGGTTTAAGTCTTTAAGCGATCAATTAAATAAATAATCACATAAATATCACTATCCATTATTTATTAGATAGAAATATTAATTGCAGCACTGAAAGAAAAGTTTGCTGTAGCAAATTAAATGGTAAAATATGGCATGGCATTTTTAATTGGCTGTAGCAGCCAATTTTTGGTTACAGCAGCCAATTTTTTGTTGCATTAGCCTATCCGCAATATAGAATTTTAATAGACTAAACCAAAAAATCAACTGTTGCAACCAATTAAAAACGCTATACCATTTATTCAGCTAATTTTTTTTCTGTGTACTTTTTACAACAGTTAAATGTAACGTATAATGTTGTTAAGGATCCATAATTAGTCGTCATTATCTGATACACATCTAAAGAAATTTCGTATAATTTCCAGTTAATTTCCACAATTAATCAACAGAATTTTATAAATTTAAAATAATTAATATATTCCGATTATAACTTCGTCCTTTCTTCTATTTTTACGCGTCGGTGAAGATTTGCATGCGTTGCATTGCTTCTATATTCATGCAGCCAAGCACATAATACGTGTACATTAGGGTAATCTGCCCGTTCATATAAATCAAAATCGCAAACGTCGAATTAGCGTTCAGACAAAGTTCTTTCTTAAGCTCTCAAAATGCATGAACGTTAATACGAATTAATGTGGCGCTCAGAACGCGGGACATCATTCGTTCGTCGAAATTAATTCCAAACGTACATATTCATACGAATGTATTGCCGAGACGATTTTCAATGTACGATTATTGTTAATCCTGTGGTACGTCGAGCGTGTTTGTATTACGCGACGCGGTGAGGTGCCTGGCGTGTATATTTATTTTTTGTACAGTGTACAGCATGCTTATTATCAGCTGCGAACGGCCTCTGATTTTAGAGGCGTCTGTTTTTTTTATTCCCGCATTCGACACTGTACTGTAACTTTCTTGCTTTCTCGTAAAAAATCAAATATACAGCCTTGGCCAAAAATATTATAAATCTGATTAGATGCACTTAAGGCTCATATTAAAACTGTTGCATATTAAAACTGTTGTACACAAATTACTGTAAAGATTATGTGTTTAATATAAATATAGAAATCGGTTAAAAAGTCGTCTAAAATTTTTAGTACATTTTATTGTGTTGTTAAGTAAAATATATATTTTATAATTTGAAACACTTGATGCATTTCATTTTTACTTACTTAAAAACAACAAAAATATAAAAAAATATTTTTTTTTACAATTTTAAAGTACTCTTGGAACCATACAACTTTTTAAACAATTTTTTTTTATCTTATATTTCCGAGGATATTCGCCTTAAAAAAAATTGTTTTTTTTTTAAGAGGTATTTCACCCCTTAAACATGAGTTAGCACATGTATAAAAAATTACGTGTCTCTTAGATTTTCGACAGATGTTTTACAACACATTTCATGGAGAATCAAATCGGTTCCGGACAGTTATGAAACTTTTCTTGTTAGTAAAATTAGTGGTGTTAAATTGGAAACAAAATTAATGTAAAAAAAGATCTTAAATATATGTATATGACAGACAAATCTGTAGGACATAATCACGAAAAAAGTATTATATTTTGTAATATTTCGCAAAATACTATTATAATATAAAACATTCTGCAAAAAAGTTTTATTATATTTTCTTATTCCAAGAAGCGTG